CATCCAATTCCATTTTCCTCGCTAATTCCTCGTCGTACATAACCTGAGCTCTCCATTTTTCAGGTTCTGACTCCACTATTTCCATAAAACACTCGTGAGCATTCACAGATTTCCTCCATATCTCTTCATAAGATGCAAGTTGCAGCCAAATCCACCGACGGCAAATTCCTTTCATCTTCGGTTAATAAAGGCCAAATTTCACCTCTCAGCTCTTTCAATGCTTCAAGTAATCCAGCCTTTGATCGCTTTAACTGCTCGGCCTTTTCAGCACGATCCTCTTCTTCATTTCTCCTTCTTGAATACATTTTCAATCGAGCTCCTTTTCCCGCCTCGGGACATGAATGGGTAGACATATTTACACAAATATTTCGGTCGACGAAACGGTGCGCTAAGTTCGAAAACTGTCAATACCGTAGTACCTGTCTTTATTTCCTCTCAAAACAAACGCCGAAAACTCACAGCTCACATTGGGCTCAAGCTCAAAAGGCACACATTGACCGCACGGCCTCGGTCGATGAACAAAGTCGCAACAACTTGAATAAAACTCTTAGCTTCCATCAAAGGCACACGTGTGTGAATGTATACGTGTGAGTGAGGCTTTCTGAAAATAACAAAAAGGTATTAACATAGGTAAAAAGGTATTAAGTTCGAAATGTTTCTTTGAATAACAAAGGCGAAATGTTAACTTACCGAGCTGTTTGCTTCGAGCTAAACGAACGGCACAATGACAACTTTATGACAAACTCCTGCGATTAACACTGGCTTACCTAAACACATGGCGACTAAAGTCCAATGGTCACGTCACGTGACCGACAAAAATCTCCCAACGGGAGTCGGGAGTGACACATGGATTAAAAAACAAAAATGGGATATGAGGTTTCTTCAAGAGACATATCGCACACCTGAGATCATAAACGATTGGAAATTTCAATGGCGTGGAGAAATGATTCTTAGTCATGGTTCAAATCATAGCAGAGGAGTGCTTGTCCTTATTAATGAGCAGCTACAGTACGAAATAAAGAATGCCGTAATAGACGATGAACGCCGATACATATTATTGGAAATGAGCATCCAAGGATCGTCATTCCTGCTGCTTAATTTATACGCTCCTACCAAACTAAACGTAAAAAATATTCAAGATATTATGCATGCTCGAATGTAATCTTATCGATATTTGGAGACTACGAAATCCTGATAAAAGGCAGTTTACCTGGAGAAAAAGAAATTCTATTATACAACGTCGTATCGACTTCTGGCTTATAAGCGACGATCCACAAGACGACGTCAAAAAAGCAGAAATTACTCCAGCTATTAAAACTGATCACTCGGCAATCAGTCTGTCTGTTAATAGCCTTAAAGATCAACCATTTGGACCATCTTATTGGAAGTTTAATTCCAGCCCTCTGGATGACGACAATTACATACAGCTAATTCATTCAGAGTATCCAAAATGAATCACCAAATTTTCCGAAATTAACCAATAAAAGAATATTGTGAGACCTAATTAAATATAGAATCAGGCCAGCTGCTATTGAATACAGCAAAGTGATCGCTAAGAAACGAAAAGCGCAGCTTCTGCGATTGGAAGAAATCTTAAAACTACGCGAGGAAAACTTTAACAATAATCCATCTGAAGAAAACATTACACTGGACGAAACCAGGAGTGAGTATGAAGCATTATATGATTACAATATTTAGGATGAAATAACAAGATCGAGAGCGAACTGGTATGATCAAGGAGAGAAAAATTCGAAATATTTTTTAAACCTAGAAACCAGTAAAACCAAGAGAACATCAGTTCGCCGCCTTATTAATGCAGATGAAAAACAGGCGTCCTTAACTCAAAATCGATAATGAAAGAACTCGAAGATTTCTATACAACACTCTACAAAAACCACGAATCAAGGGATTGCGACCGACGCTTTCAAGATTTTTTAAATGGCGATGATATTCCTAAATTAGGCAACGATCAGAAAAATCTATGCGAAGGACTTTTGTCAAACAACGAGTGCTTTAACGCTCTGTCTAAATTCCCAAATGGAAAAACACCTACACCTGGAAAGGACGGCTTAACACCTGAATTCTACAAGAAATTCTGGAATCTGCTTGGCCACCTAGTGATCGTTTCCTTGAATTATCCGTTGATATACGTGGTGAATTATCTAACTCGCAAAAGCAAGCAATAATAAGACACACTGAAAGAAAGGAAAAGATAGACGTTACATCAAGAACTGGCGACCCATTTCTTTATTAAATGTCGACACTAAAATTGCTTCGAAAGCTCTGGCATTGAGATTGGAAAAAGTATTGGCTTTTGTTATTAATGAAGACCAATATGCGTACGTCAAAAATAGAACTATTTTTGATGCTGCTCGGTCACTAATTGACGAAATCATGGAATATACGAGGATTAACCAAGTACCTGGGTTAATGGTCGCAACTGACTTCGAAAAAGCTTTCGACTCTTTAAGTTGGAATTTTTTATCGAATGCCTTAAGATCCTTTAATTTTGGCGATTCCTTTATTAATTGGATCTCGGTTTCCTACTCCAACATATCAAGTTGTGTCACAAAAAATGGTTTCTCGTCACTAATGTTCAAAGTCGAAAGAGGTGTTAGACAAGGGGACCCGTTGTCGCCATACCTCTCCATTATAGCTTTGGAACTTCTTCTAATCAAAATTCGAAACGATCTTTGTGTTAAAAGCATTAAGATAGACAACGCGGAGGTTAAATTCGCTGCTTTTGCTGACGACTTGACAACATTTCTACATGACAAAGGCTCTTTAGAACACCTGTTTAGTACTTTAGACTGAAGCATTCGAAGGGTGTTCCGGCTTGAAATTAAACAAAGACAAAACGGAAGCTTACTGGCTTGGTAGTAGCCACAATTGTATACGTAACGAAAACTTGAATAGCAACGGTTAACTGACAAGCCTATGAAAATTCTAGGAATTTATTTTACCTATAATTCACGTCTGAAAAACGAATTAAATTTCGATGCTACTATAAAATCTTAAAAGAAAACTTTAAATAACTGGCAATGGAGAAATCTTACAGTCTTTGGTAAGATTCGAATTATTAAAAAATTTGCGATGCCAAAACTGTTGTTCTGGGCTTCCTTGTTAACCGTTAATAAAGATTTTTTTAAAAAAAAACTTAACACAGTATTGTTTAATTTTTTATGGAAAGGTAAAGATAAAATCAAACGTCTCGCACTGATTAGTGACCATAGTGATGTCCCATCTGGAATCTACAATCAAAACTCAAACAATCATGTGTCTTAAAAAGTTTATTGAGAATTATCACAGTCCATGGAAATTAATCCTCTCGCACCATCTTAAAAATCACGAGGATAAATTCCTTCTTCATTGCAATTATGGCGTTGCTGACCTACCTAAATCCCTTCCAAAAGCTTTATCGCGACTGTTTTGAAGCTTGGGCTACAGTCACCGAGAAACATCCATCTTCGCGCGACCACATTATGGAACAGATACTGTGGAACAATAAATATCTTCGTATCGATGACAAACCTCAATTTTGTAAAAAGTCGTTTATATAGATGGCTATGGCAAGCCGTTTGCAGCAAAATTTAATCCTTGCAATATATGTTTAATCCTTTAAATAATGATTTTATTTAAAGATATAAAAAGGCATTCAATCCAATGGCAAATAAAATTTTTGGTTCAATTCAATCTTTTAATTTTCATGAT